GGTCCGAGTGATGACTCGCGTACTAGGCCGTCGTAACAGATAGATCACGTGGTTCAACTGCTAACATAATTCATGCATTCTGCTCCGTGTTGACACAGATTTTAAACAGCGCAGAGGACACCCAGTCGTTGACTAATGTACAATTTCGTCCCCAGTGGTTGGATACACCACATGATCTGTGTTTACCAAGTGTTTTATACCTGAATCTCTGTGTACATTATTTATCGCCTGCAGTAGCCATTTCGATATAGGTTCAACCGACCAAGTGGCCAGCTGTCTCTTCAGAGGCTCAATATATTTGCATTCGAAACTAGATGTAAACTCATAAATACAGTTTAATTTGGCGTGCACAGGCAGAATGGCTTTAGTTGGTCTAACCGAAGAAGCCGTTATTGTGCTTATTAACAGCACAGCTAAGGGTGCGTATGGCTAAGTAACTCTGAATTAAGGCCGCTGCTTGATCAAGTTTGGTACGTTATCACCCCTGAAAGCTACGTAAGACCCATCAGGGAGACGGTCTAAGCTCAATTCTACAAAATCTCAACCAATTGATTTCTTCCCAAACGGCGGAATCTGATTAGCTACTGTAGCAAGCGCATCGTTTAACAGGTCAGTCAAAAAACAGGATGGTCTTGTTTAGCCGGATCGGTTAATTAGCCTATGTAAAAACGATAAGCAATGAAAAGCTGAAAAAACAGTCATTTCGTGGTAATCAACCAACCAATAGACAAATGTTTTCCACTAATTCCAGTTGAATTCGTCCTTAATAAGTTGAAATTCGAAACCCTCTCCTTCAGGCCTAAATTATTTTAAAACAAAAATCTTAGGAGATCAGATGGCGATTGAAGTTAGTTTGCACGATTAAGGTACATCGCTAGCTAGCAGACGTTTTTAACCAAATGGTTAAAAACGAAGTTTGCTTATATCCCCTATCAGTACAGGTAAAAACCTAAAATTACTTCTGTAGAGATATAGAGGCCCTCCGAGATGTTAGAAGGGGGTCGGGATTCTGGATTTAAACAAGTCAAAGAAGATAGATTATATGGGTGATCAAAAGTAATTTATCACTAAGCTCGCAGGACAGAAGAAAAGTATGGGAGGACCTAGTTGGAAAAATGGTATCTTTACTGTAGGATAAGGTAATAAACGACAAAACATCCATATAACCTAGGGTTTAAAATGCACAACTTATCAGACTATACGAGTTCCCAGCACTGAACTTACCAGGAGTATCGTTACGACTAACTGATAGGCGAGAAATACACCCACCTTAAATTGTTCGACGGAGTCACCAAAAATTAGGACCAGTTAGGCGCAGTTTTTATGCTTGTACTAACAGAAATACACATAAACACAACCAAAGATGGATTCCAATGTACCAAATAAGCACGTGACATTGCTTGACGGGCAGAGTCTGTTCCTAATCCTGTCACTGGATGAAACTGTGTGAGTCCGCGTCCTCAGCGCCACCGAGCTAACTCATCCCGCCGTCGTCTGCCCTGGTTTGCACTCATGCGTGACAGCTTATCCCACGTTGGTATATCTCACGCCCTCAGTCAACTCGCTGCTTTAGACGCGCGTAAGCCCAAAGCCAATTGATACGCCCCGTTAATTTGATTGGCTGCACAGAGGACTGAGCACATATAACGTGGTCAAGGCTTCTGTTAGGAACGCCCAGCGTGCGAGTTATCACTCGGGCCGTCCTGAGGGTACGAGGCAAAGGTAGCTCACATGCCAGCGGAGGCAGGCAGAACGGGACAAGAACGCGACCTTCAAAGGGTCGACACGCGAGGATGCAAGAACAGCCGCCAGCCGGGTTCTGGGGTAAAGCCTTGCCAGGGGCAAAGCGCCAATACGGCCAATAGGGAGTAAAGGCTGTTGCTCCTTAAATACGCTGCCATTGACAC